TTTTGGCTCACATTTAACAAAAACCCACCAATTCACTATCTCAACAAATTAGAATATGGTGACATGCCAATCAGCTAATCAACTCAAAACACCTGCAAAAGTTTCCTGAGCCTTCAAAATGGTCTCTCAGTTTGGTTCACTAGGCCAGTGTTTCTCAACCAGGGGTCCGTGGACCTCTAGTGGTCCTTGACATAAGGCCAGGGGGTCCGTATGAATTTTTGTATAAATGTTATATATTTTGACATGACATGTTCCCATGAAAGAAAAATCCAATATAGCTGATGATATGGCCAAATACTGGACAAGTCAGAAATGAACTTTTCCATGACATTCTAATTTATTGAGATGCACCTGTAATCTTCATTTGTGGGTGTTTAAGACATTGTGTTTGTGCGTTTTAGTAATGGCCTATGCTTTGCTGGCCTCATTGCCTCCAGTATTTGGACTCTATACATCCCTCTATCCTCCATTAATTTATGTTATTTTTGGGACCTCCAGATACATATCTATAGATGAGATCATTTATCTTTAAACATGGCTGAAAATGATTAAATCCGTTGATCTGATTTAGCCAAAATGCATTGTTTTCTGTCTGTTTTCTTATTTTTGATGCTCATAATGCTTTGACTTTTAATGTTTTTATGTGTTTGTGTACACATAGGCACATTTACTATCCTCAGTATTATGATTGGTAGTGTGACAGAGAGACTGGCCCCCGATTCAGATTTCCTTATTTACAATGGCACTAATGTGGCCGAGACTAGAAGTAGCTGAAAAAAAAATCCCATAATAATCATAAAATTGCATAGCAATGTGACAAAAAATATATAACTCCTAGGCATTGTGCTGATGACTTTCGCATAGGCAAGCACCACTCATATTTGTAAACATCTAGTTTAACATTAATATTTAATTCTGTTGATAATTTCCATGATTGCTGGTTTGTCAGTGTCATTTTTGTTTTTGTGTTTGTAGTTGATATGGTTGGTGACATACAGTGGGTACGGAAAGTATTCAGACCCCCTTCAATTTTTCACTCTTTGTTATATTGCAGCCATTTGCTAAAATCATTTAAGTTAATCTGTGCTCTTCAATTTGGATATGGGTTTTGCTCTACTCACTGTTATCTTCAGAACTCAACGGTTGGAGTCTTTCCCTGCTTCTAATCTTTCAGCAGTTTCTCACTTCTGTCACCTGCTCTATTCTCTTACTGCATCAAGTCTGAACTTATCTCATGACTTCTTTGTTTCTCTCAGGCCCATTTACTCACTGCTGGGACACCTCCCTGGCACTGAGCTGTATCTAGATATGGAAACACACAAGGAGGTGAGGATTACATTTATATTTATTCGTTTAGCAGACAGGACTGAACTGAAATGTTGAACTGTGTGCCACTTTTAATGATTTTTCTATTTATTGCATTAAAATGTATGTTTATTGAAACAATCACATTCCCACTGTAACTCCAGAAATATCAGGACTGTTTTCATAGCAAATTAGCCTTCATTATGCCTATGTGACTTTTTGTAATCAATGTATCTAAGCAAATCTGCAGTATCACAAATGTGTTTTGTGTTTTGCAGGTGAGGGAGGTACCAGGTATCATCATATTTCACTCCTCCGCCACCATGTACTTCGCTAATGCTGAACTTTATCTTGAGACCCTTAAAAAAAAAAGGTAAACATTTTTAATTTGAGCTTGGTAACCATAGAATATATCTTTTTCATCTTTTTTTCAGTACTTTGGAATGTCTTAGAACAGTGGTTTTCAATCAGGGGCCTTCTTCTATCCAAGATGACTTAAAGATATTTATAATAAGACAAAACAAGCATTAAAATAAACAAAAAATTATGTTCGATTTTATTTTAAATTACCCTTCAAAAAGGTTTGTTTCCTTTGAAGAAAATTACTTTGAAGGTTGGAAAACCTGGATATATGAGGTAGTCAAATTTTTAAAAGCATAATTTATAGACTAGAAAAATCATGTAAATGAATAAAATGTTACAATACCATGGGCATTTTTATAATGAATATACATTTTACTAGTTACGCCAAGCTCTAAAATATTTTGTCGTGTAAATTGTGAGTAAAAAATAAAACTTCTGGAATGCCGA